GTTACAAGGGGCCCTTGCTTCTCAAAGTTTTGATCTAAGTGTTGGTTTTTCCACTCATCTTGATTCCACATTTGATCAGCTGCTGGCCAGGCAGAGTCCCTGCTATTAGGCAGGGGTTATAGGGGTTGTGTGATACAGAGGCAAGAAAAGGTGGTGGGCTGTGGAGAGTGAATAGATCCTGTTCTGGCTACTCTAACAACCAACCATAGACTTGGTAGTTCATACACAGAACAGTTCCCCACAGCTGGTGGCTGGAAGACCAGAATCAAGGTCTGAGAAAACATGGTGCCTGAGAGGATGTTTCCCAGTTCATCGATGGCACCTTGTCATTGTTCTGTTTTGCCCAGGTCCGTGGAAGAATTAGGGTCACTCCATAATGAATTTTGGCTTAGAGCAGCTAGGGAGCCAGCTTCTGGTGAACTGATTGCTGTTGCTTTGCAAAAGGTCTTTTTATTGTTACACAATTTACATCTCTGAGCAAGTAAGTTTCTATATACCAAAACCTCTTATCTGGAGTTGTTTGAAGAAACCATTTGCCCAAGCAATTCCCAGTCATGAGACCTCTTGGTTTGCCAAGTCCTCTCATAACCAACTATTGCATGGCTTTGAGCCCTTCAGGAAGAACTCAGATAAGAATCAAACACTTCAAACAAAAGGCAGCATCATAAAAGGAAGTTCCAAGCCAGATGCAATGCTCTGCAGCATCCCCCACTATTGCATCCCCTCCCAGTGATGAATGGGAATTCATGAGGCCGCTCACCTCATGGTGAGCGTCAGTTATGTCAGTGTTAGGTTTCCAAATAGGACCTCGGGGAACACCTCTGAGTCATAGCTGATAAGGAAAGACCAGTGAGAAGGTGACTGAGAGTTTAGACTTGGGGCGATGTGGGCAGATAACAGCAGTAAATATACACATCTGGGAAACCCTGATGCGTTGGAATGGGTGTTTGGGCAAGATGCTTCCTGTGTGAGTCTCTAAGTTGCTAAAGTGGGCACCTTGTGCCTCCAGCATGAACCTACGTGACCAGAAATGGCTTAGAGGTTAAGAGCCTTCTGGTTCAATTCCCAGCACCCACATTAGTCAGCTCACAACCACCTGTAACTCCCAGTTTCAGGGTGTGGGAAACCCTCTCCTGACCTCCATAAGCACATGCACCCCCCTACACACAAATAAAAATGATTTTAAAATAAACCTAATCAAAAATGAGGTGGTAATGCAAGAGCAGAGCACTGACAGAGACTTTAAACACAGCTGCCTGCTCCTGAAGGTGAACCTTCCACTACATTAGCCAATAATTCCTTTTCTGAAAGAAGCATAATGCTTTTGGTTGATACGAAATCTCTAATAAACCATTGGAAAAGGAACAGGATTTAGTGGCACACACCTGCATTGCACTTTGGAAGCAGAGGCAGGAGAATCAAAAGTTCAAGGTCAGGGCTGGGAGATGACTGGGTGAGGTGCTTGCCTTGAAAACATAAGGACCCTGGGAATCTGACTTAGAGGAAGAAAGGATGCCCACTGGTTCTTCCTGTGAATATTGTGAGAAGTGTGTAGCATCAAGAGCACGAGAGAAGCCTGCGAGCAGTGATGCAAAGTGCGTGTGCAATGACAGGCATTGCCAGCGAGCAGTGATGCAAAGCACGTGTGCAATGACAGGCATTGCTGCTGGGCTAATGAGGCAGAGTGCTTCCTCAATACGGTCACAGCAAAATAAAGCTACACTTCTTCAAAAGGTATGGAAGAAAATGTAAAATATGAAAGCATTGTGACATGGAAGGCCACCATAGTGGAAGTGAGGAGGTGGCTTTCATACTTGCCATACTGACAAACAGGCATACAGAATACAGACTCAAGGTGCAGGGAGAAGCGCACTCAAGAGAAACTACTGAGTTTCTGAGCTATGCAGATAAAAGGAATTGGTACTTTTATATTTCTGGGCATGTTTCAATTTGTCCTTTATAATGAGCTTAAGTTTCTTGACTAAAAAATTGCATGCACACATAAAGATGCCTGACATCATTGACAAAAACTCCCAGGAAGCCATTTTCCACTTTTTGGATGGGAGCCTGGCTCCAGCTGCCCCAGTGGGGCAGTGAATGGAGGAGTCAACCCAAGAGGTCCTCATCTCTGCAGCCAGTCTCCACATGTCTCCATACATAGATACTGCTTCACAGTATTTTCCTGTCTGCTCAAGACATTGGGTGCTTTGGCAAAAGGGAGCCAACCAGAGTTTTCCTTGGGGCTTACATATGTGGTTGCTAGGTAGAACATGTTTGAGCAGGCAATAACTATGTTAACTGCCATTTGGAGAGGCCTATAGTGTGAAGC